CTTTAAAAGCACACACAACAAAGGCGGTGGAGGCAGGTGCTAAGTGAAAACATGTGGCATTCAAAGCTCACATGTACGCAGCAGGTCACCTTTGACATTATTATTTTTAGCCCCTATAGCTGTTTCCATAGAGAACAGTCAGAGCAGAAATCAACGCATGCTAACCACATTTAATAAGCACGTACTATTCAAGACTTCACATGCGCTGGTTCATTGTGCTGTAATTACATTCACTCAGTTATATTTAATTGAGTAGCTTGAATACAATGCAGTTAGAAATAGTACTATAGAGTCTATCTATATGTTACTTCTAATTGGTGACTTCACATTATGTTAAAGACAGTACAGCAAGAAATATTTACTCAAGTAACAGGGCTGTTACTCTAAAAGATATATACCTACCATATTTTTCAGACTATAAGGCGCACTTGAAATCCTTTAATTTCCTCAAAAATTGACAGTGCGACTTATGTATTAATTCTGGTTGTGCTTACTGACCTCGAACTGATTTTATGTGGTACACGGCGTTCAAAAATCTAAATGTTTTAGTTCAACTTTGGTATGTTATGAAGCTTGATGGATTGTCGGAGCATTACAGCTACCGTAGTCAGGAGCCTTGCGGAGTAAGTCAAGTCCTTCAGTCTGACAGAAGCTGAACCGCATCAGCGCACAAGGAGCGAGCTGTTTTTTTAGACCTTATAGTTTATGCAAATGAGCCATGTGGTTTTAAGTTTTGTTTCTGTAAAACAAAAACAAATGTGCGCAAAGCAGCATTAAACACATTATTACTCATAGTGTATTTAAGTCCTACTTGTAGGAAATAAAAAATAAAAGCAAACTTAAATTATTCATTCACATTTATAGTACACATTCACCAAGACAGGGAAGCAACGTCGGGCAAATTACGCCACATTCTGCCAATGGATCGTGGATGCCTGGCCTAAAGGATCAGTCTCAAGTGTCGTCTGTTTGTTTCACTTAATGCACCTTATAATCCAGTGTGTTTTATAGTCCGAAAAATACAGTAGAAGTACGAAGTAGTGGTCCAAGAAATTACGCAAACTAAGAGTTAGAGGCTTCTTCTCAGTTTTAAGGCATTTTAGAATGTTGTTATGGACTCAAAAACAGACCTGGAGTTGTGTTTTGTCTCATTCACACATGGTTGAATAATCCAGCATTATTAGTCTGTCTACATCTCCAAAGCTCAAAATGCTCTGTTCCACCTTGTGATGTCATGTAGTGGTTAACAGCAAGTTCAGTAGAGATTGGTAAATTCAGAGCTGAAATGATCCAAATGATTATCATGATGGTGTATCGAGTTTAAAACACAGTGGAGCACTTCCTGTATTACCACCTGACATCACAAGTAAGAATAAGTTAGTGTTTTCAGTTTAAGAGAAGAATTCAGTCTATTATGCCAGGTTTTTGTGTTAAACATGTGTGAATGAAACAAAACACAACTCCAGGTCTGTTTGTGATTAGAAAACAACATTACAACAGAGATCTAGAAATAGTGTAATATGTGTTAAGTGTTTGGGTAAATTTAAGTGTGAAATTATAATTAATGCAAGTTAACGTAATTGAACAAAACTTTAAATTATAATTAAATCAGGTATTTCTAAATGATATTATATTGTATGCATCCAATACAATATTGATCACATACAGTTTTTGTCATTTGTAGATTTGCTCACAGTGGGAAGAGTTAGAGTACTGTTCAGACTGAAGCCTGAAGTGACCCAAATCAGATTTTTTCACCCCTATGTGACCTCTATCTGATCTTTTAATGACAGTCTGAACAAAACAGACCTGATTTTTTCAAATGTGACCCAGGCCACTTGGATATGTGCTCCTAAAACCGATACATATCTGATCATTTGATATATAACTTCAGTCTGAACGGCCAGGTCACATTCATCCCACCTATGACTGATGATGCGTTTTTTGAACTGATTGCCAAAGAACTGGCTACAGGCGATCCTGGCTCCAATGACAACAAAAAATAAAGAGCTTGTGAGCCGAATACAAGGAGACAAAAAAAATAAACAAAGCGGCCGTGGACGTGGGCGTGTAACCTGTCCATTTTACGAAGAACTGGACCGTATTTTGGAAGACAAACTCAGTGTTTAGGCAACTTCCGTGTGACGTTGTTGTGTCCTCCAGTACACATGCGGTTCACTTTAAAGTTCACACTGGAGATCACACACAAGTCACATTTAATTGGAAATGTGAGCGACCTTGCAAAAAATTTGGATTTCACAAAAAAATCCAAATTGATCATTAAGCCCTGCAGTCTGAACCTTACTCTTAGCCTTACACTTTTAAATATATTACTCCAAAGTATCATCTCTGAAAACTACTTCAAGCTGAACTCTGCCTTTAAAGAGTTACTCAAGTACGTAAATATATTAGATTGTATTAGAATTCCTTCTTGCTGTGAGATGACGGCTCTAACCCCCATACATCATACACACACCTCACTATGCTTTTTTTAAAATTTGTACTTTGAGTAAATACTGCCTGTAATTTTCAGAGAAGGAAGATTCTGAAGATGCGAGAGGACCAGAAATTGCAAACAGCTGTTGCTAATAAACATTAGCTTTGTTTTGTGCAACAATTAGCATCGTTTCTTTGTGGAAAGTGACAGTTTATCAAAGCAACAAGACAAGCTCCATTTGAACGCGCAGCCATTACAGCGCCTTTTACAGTAATTGCCATTCTCTCAGATTGGCTTCTCTGATCAACACACGCTGCTGTGAAATATACTTTTTTTTTTTTTTTTTTTTTACATTTGGAACCATATCGGCGTTTCTATTTTAAAGGATCAGATGGATGGGGCCGTGGCTGGATCAGTAATGGGCACAGAGCTCCACTTTGACTCAGATGCCAGCAAAGTGGAGGTGGGGTAGTGGTATTATTAAAGAAGAGCTTGTTGGACCTTTTCGGGCTTAAGATGGACTCAGAATGAACTCCAAAACTTATTGCCAGTTTTAGAAGACACTTTTTTCAAGCAGTGGTACAAGAAAAAGTTTGCATCTTTCCAGAGGACCATGATTTAAGGTGCACTGTGTAACTTTTCTGGTATAGCGGGTCAGCCACAAACTTGTTTCCACTGAGATATCGTTGCATTGCCTGAAAGATTTCACAGTATGGAATTAAACTCATCTACGTGTTCAGTTACAGCAAAAATACTACAAAAACATGCATTCCTACAATGAGTGAGCTCACCTCTCCACAGATCTGACCTGTAACTTGGCCTGGAGGCATTGTGGGCTTGACTACTTGGAAATAAATAAGTTTAATGTGGGACATGTTAGACTAGGGTGACCAGACGTCCCTATTTACCCAGGACAGTCCCAGTTTTGAGTCCTGTTTCCCCTGTCCCAGCAGATTTATCCAAAACCAGTGATTTGTCCCAGTTTTATATAAGAAATAAACAGTAAAGAGAGGCATAAATTGTCATTAGTTTAGGTTAAATATTTAAAAATGTGCTTAAAAACAACCAAAACACAAAGAACATGTGACTATACTGACTCACGTGTTCATCATAAATGGTCTCGTCATAACAGTTTTCCTTAATTTCGTACTCTTTTCACAATTTTATTAATACCAACCACCAAAAAACCGAGGATGTCCCAGTTTTTTTTTTATTTTTACTATTCTAGACAAAGCAATAACATTCCGTCCATCAAAAAGTTACACAGTGCACCTTTAACAAAGCAATCTACATACCTGTCCAAAAGTATTCACGATTATTTGAAATCTGTAATACAATGTTTATATTTAAAGTTTTTGTATTTTACAAAAGTGACTCTTGTGAGCTTTAAGCCATATTATATTGCAAACCTCAAAATGCTCAGTTCCACTTTGTGATGTCATGAAGCAATTTTTCTTTTTTTCAAGTTAACTGTGACTTTTTACATTTATCTACCTTTTAAATTATCCAAATGATTCTAGTGAAGATGAATGGAGTTTAAAAACACAGTGGAGCACGTCTTGTATCACCACATCACAAGGTGTTTTTTGTTTCAGAGAAGAACTCAGTCAAAATGTACAGTGTTTGTGGGTTAAACATCGGAAGCAATAAATATGACTTATTACTGAGTAGTTTTCCTTCATTATATTTACATTTTTTGGAATAATTTTTGTAAGAATCGGATTGGCTATTGCTCATTTAAAGCTACAGTATGTAACTTTCTGGAGGTGGCATGACACCTGCATGATTCCATGGTAATAGATAAATAAGTTAGATGCCAAATAAGAGTCAGGTTTATGGAGATGCAAGCCCATTCACAGTGAGAATGCAATAAAAAAGGCTTTAACTATTTTCTTCTTTTCTATTTTCTTCTTATTTTAGTGAGGCTTTGGTTGTTTGTTTGGGGGTTTTGTTTAAAGGCTTTCTGCTCTTTGAAAAGAATGCAATAAAAACAACAAAATTATTATTATTAAACTATTTTCTGACCGAAAAGTTTCATACAAAGCTTATTTTACTGAGGCTCTCGCTGTTTGTTTTGGGCTTTTTTTTATTCAAAAGCCGGGTTGCTTGTTGCTCTTTGAAAATCTGGCAACACAGAACCTAGCCTCCTCTCCCCCCTCCTGCCCCCCAACTACCCTCTCTACTACCCTCCCTCCGTCACCTGCCCTTACCCCGAGCAGCAGGATGACCCCGTCCTGGGAGTCCTCATCCGAGGTGATGTTGAACCGCTTGTTTTTGGGCATTTTTTTTTTTGATAGGCTTGGTTGCTTGTTACTGCTTGAAAACCTGGCAACACAAAACAACCCCACAGAATGACTCCGCCCCCCTGTCCCATTCTACCCGTTTTACCCCCTCTACTTCTTGAAGTTTTGATTTGTTGTATTAAGATTTTAATGTCTTTCTTATTCTGTAAAGCAGTTTGTATTTGGGCTTTTTTTTTCTGTTTTCTTTTTTGCTTATTGCTCCTTGAAACCCTGGCAACCCACTTCCCCCCTCTGTCCCTCTACCCCTCTATCCCCCTCACCCGGAGCAGCAGGATGACCCCGTCCTGGGTGTCCTCGTCCGTGGTGATGTTGAACTGTCCAGGCCCGTCCCCGTCCATGATCCTGTAGTCCATCTCGGCGTTGGACCCGATGTCCGCGTCCGCCGCTTTGATCCGCGCCACCACCGATTGCACCGGCAACGACTCTGCCACTGTGTACTGGTAGTTCTCTGCAACACATGAGAGAAGAAAAAGGAGGAGGAGGAGAGGGAGAAGAAGACAGAAGAAGAGGACTAGTGTGAATTAAGGTTGTGACATGTTTTATTAGTGTTGTTCTAACTTGGACGTTATAATGATGGAAACTGTCAGCTTCTGGTAAACAAATGGAAAAAGCCACCGGGAGCACTTGGATGTAATTGTCAAAATAATCATTACTGGCTTGTTGTCAAAAAATGAGGACTGCAAAAGTGCTGTTAATAGTCATTTCATTTTGGCTGTACAGAAATGGAGGAGCAAAGGAGCCAAAGAGTGTGGTCTGTATACCGTATTTTTTGGACTAAAAGTCACACTTTTTTTGATGGTTTGGGTGTTTCCTGCGACTTATACTCCGATGTGAATTATAAAATATATATATTATAATTTTCACACTGACAGGGGCAAGAGGGCGCTCTAGACTTGTGTGTCAGTATCTGCTACTCCTATTACTCCTGTACCACTGTCACTTGGCTCTACTGCGCATGTCTCCTGCAGAAAGAGCCTCTGTCCTGTCTGTATCATGTCGGTAGATTGCACCATTACTTCTGTACCACAAAATTTTTTTAATTTAAACAATTTTTTTAAAGACAGCTGAGAAGACAGAACAAAATGCCCCCAAAAAGAAAATCATATATTTTGCAGATTACAAGCTGCAGGTAGTGAAATATGCAACTGAAAACGGTAATCGAGCAGCAGAAAGAAAATTTGGAGAGAGCGAGAAACTTGTGACACCGGGAGGGTGCACCATGAAACTTTCCTGGAAGTCACTGGATGGATCAAGAAAGCCTGGACTTCACTGACAACCAAAACCATCCTGTCGGGATTCAGAAAGGCCAGAATAATTCTAACTGGAACTGATGCAGAGTCTGACGACAGCTACACAGAAGAGGAAGGCACTCTGTTTACCTCTGGAGTTCGCTGAGTTGCTCAGAAGTGACACCGAGGATGAAGAATTGAATGGATTTAGTGATTTGAAATGAGATCAAGAGTTTGGTTATGTTCTGTTGTTTATGCTATAGTTACAGTAACAGTCATGCCTCCATAGTCTGAATAACTGTTAATATGTTACATTAACATACCAGACACCAGTTCAGTCTGTTGTTTTCTATTGTTTTGTTGCTACTAGAACTTGCCTTTCAAGATGAAATGTCGGTTCCTGGTCTTTGATTTTATAAAAAACATTTCCCCCAAAAAGTGCGACTTGCACTTACTGGTGTGACTTACAGTATAAAATATAAAAATATAAAAAATGTATAAAAAGTACATTTAACGGACCCATAAGATTTAGATTTCCATTTCCATGAACCTATCATAACTGAGTCCCCAGATACAACATAAACATGTTCAAATATAGCTGATACTGAAGCTGTAAAGTTAATTTATTCTTAATTACAAAAAAAACAAATTGACCATGACCAAACTGATTATGCTATAATTTGGTCTTTTGGTTATTCCATCAGAGTGAGCCACCATGAGTCTCTCATGTGGACTGCCAGTTTCAGTGCTGAAATCTGAATGGGCTCTACCTAAACCCCAGCACTTACAGCCAATCATGAATCAGTGCTAGTGCAGCCTCTGCAGCTCAAGGAAGGAATTCTGGAGGTTCTGGGCTTTCACATGAGACATGGCCTGTCCATACTGAGAATACTGAGATGAAACATATCTGGAGTTGTGTTTTGTTCATTCACACATGTTTAACTCATAAATCGTTCCATATTTAAGATGAGTTCTTCTCTCAAACACAAAATACTCTTTTCCACCTTATGATGTCATGTGATATAGAAAGTGCCCCACTGTGCTTTTAAACTCCACACACCTTCCGTACAATTTGGACAATTTCAACCTTGGAATTGCTTTACTCTTTAATCTTTAATCTTTACTAACCAAAAAGGTAAGTGATAACATGACATCACAAGGAGTATTTTGAGCTTTGGAGATGTAGACAGACTAATAATAAAGAGTTACTCAAACATGTGTGAATGAAACAAAACACAACTCCAGGTCTGTTTTTTGCGAAGGTAACAACATTCTAACATGGCTTAAAGCTCACAAGAGTCAATTTACCGTAATATAAAACCTTGTAATATAAATCCTGGAGGATTTTTTTTGTTTCAAATTGTCAATGATAGCATTATAGAGATGCAGTAGCCTTGTAATTATAATGACCAAAAAAAAAAGAGAATAAAAATTCATCAACTCTGGACGTGGTGGGGCTAAACATTTGCCAATAGATAACGACACTGCCTCGTTATCTGTGAGCTGACAGGCTGTCAATCAATCTCCCTACGTTTCTAGCGTAACTGACTTGCCTGCGCGCTGCCGGTACGTGGTTTACGTACGCCTGTCACGCAGTCCACAGACGCAAGCCGCACAGACGCTGTTTACTCCACCAACGCAACAGTTCTTAGCGGCTTTTTTTGACCTATATCTTCCTCGCAGTTCGCACAAAGTTTGTTGCAATGGCGACAAGAATCCAGGAGCAGTTCGCCGCAAAAGAAAGTCCGTTTTTGAGGTCGCTGAAAGAAGAAGACAAGGGGAAAAGCAGCGAAGCCAAACTAAGGTGATTCTTGAAGATTCATTCCAGCGATGGCGCGACTGAAGCAGACGCAGGGTCTAAAGACTGACGCATTGGTCGCTAAATTACTCCTGGACAGGAAACTTCTGCTTATTATGAAAACTTACTTTATTTCCAAGAGCTGAACAAACGTTTTTCAGGACACAAAAGCGATATCCTATGTCTGAAAACATAATTTTCAAGGCAAAGAAAGAGTCCGCTTGCTGCTGCGTGTTGTAGCTAGTTCATTCGCACTGAATCTCCGCGCACCCTTCTCTGCACCCCTTTCCTGCTCCTGTCCCCGCTGCCCGATCCACTCTTCCCCCTGCTCCTCACAGGACAAACAGTCGCTGGATTTCTCGTTCCTTGGAAAATCCTCTATACAACCTTTAATGGTCAATTAAGATGGAGTTTGTGGTTTATGTTATTATATTGACACATATGGTCTCTTGCTATGTTCCTAGTATTTATGGCTCTCCAATCCACTGTCACAAATGATTCCAGTGGCCCAAAGATATATTGTATTTAAGCGTCCTTGAACTTGAGTCTTAAGGCCAGAGATTTTCCCATCCCAAAATCGAGCAAACACAACACCGAGTCGCATTAGCATAGAACTGTATCAGGGGGACAAGTGATTTTTCATGTGGCAGCTGTGAAGGCCATGGAAGGAATGTGAAAGCCTGTAATGAGAACAAGCAGATGTAAAATCAAATGTTTTTGGCTCCCAACTCCGGCGCATTTGGAGAAAGACAAATGACAAACAAGGGAAATATGCAATTAAGAAAGAACCAGCCATTTTCATCTATCAACAGTTTACACAACGTCCACAAAAGTTGATCTGATGTTAAACTGCGAGTGAAATGTGCCAACTCCACAGAAAAAAAAAAAAAAAAAAAGGGGGAGGGGATGAGTGGTGGCTGCTTTGACTGCTGGCCGTGTTTATGCCCACGTTCAGACTGCACGGCTTAAAGCTAAATGTGGATTTTTTGGTGAAATACGTTTTTTTTGTTAGGTCGTTCACATTTCCAATTAAATGCGACTTGTATGTGATCTCCAGTGTGAACTTTAAACGCCCCAAAAGTGTCTCGCATGCACATTGGAGGACACAACGATGTCACACACAGCGAGCGTGCTCAGTATTTACGGAAGTCTCCTAAACATGGATGCAGCATTGAGCACCTGGAGATGTTAAAGTTGCTGTCGTACTGATGCCAGAATATGTACAGCTTATTTGTTTTAAGAAGGAGATTGCAAAGGAGAAGGTTTTTGGCCATGGCGTTTTGTGGGCCAGTGGCAGCAACATCTGTACAAAGGAAAAGGTGTGGGTGTGGAGCCGTGGTGGCATTGCGATGTGCTTCGCTGCTTCACTGGCACAGAGTTCAGACACAATTTTCGTATGACAAGAAGAACGTTTGTGTGCATTTGATGACGTGTAGGTGGGATGAATGCGACCTGGCCGTTCAGACATATGTCGCAAGTCAAAAGATTGGATATGTATCAGTTTTAGGAGCACATATCCAAGTGGCCTGGGTCGCATTTGAAAAAAATCGGATCTGTGTCGTTCAGACTGTCATTAAAAGATCAGATACAAGTCACATAGGAGCGAAAAATCGGATTTGGGTCACTTCAGGCTGCAGTCTGAACATAGCCTTGTTGTTATGTTATGCTTGCTTTCTATATTGCTGTAGTGTCCTTGGGCAAGACACTTTAACCCACCCCGAAAGTAAAAATTGCATTATTTAGTTGTTTTGGCTACTTTAGATGGATATTCTTGATTTGTAGTTTTTTTCTTTTTTGTTTTTTTACATGTTATACTTGTTTTAAAGTGAAAAGACTTTTCAGATATTTTAACCATATTATAGTTTGCATAACCTTTGCATTTACCCTCTCAGCGTTGTTAAGACATTATAAACAATTTTTTTTTTGTATTCAGGATGTCATTGCTCTGATCAACCCTTGTATTACCACCACCAGTACACACCCACTGCTCTGCACAGACTTTTTTCTCCAGTTCTGTTATTTTAATCGGAGATCGCTGTAGCTTTGTTGTCATTTTGGTACAAATGGAAGCAAAAAAATCTGCTACTCGCTGGCATGATCTGCAGCTGTCCGTCTGATGTGCGGACAACTGCGTGGCTCTCACTGCACACAACTGTTTTCTAACATGGAAGTGAGCAGACTTATTTCTTTTACTAGGGCATTTTAGAGGAATATTGCGATTTAAAATGTGCAAACGATAACATACTGAATCAAGGGGTTTCATAGCTCACAAGTAACTACAGTAGTAATATATCTTCTTTAAACTCCAAGTAAAATGCCAACTCCACAGAAAAGAGCGAAAAAGTAGTAGCTGCTTCCAAACATGGAAAGGAGCCAGCTGAGGTGTTGGGGCATCTGTTCTGGGTGCCTCCTGGAGCTCTC